TGTTTGGGCACTTGTCACCAATAAAAAATAATATTTGTTGGTGAAATATATTTCCTTTTACATAACATAAAAACGACACCAATTTTGAGCACTGTAAGTCAATTTAATTGCTGATGAATTGTGCACTTGATCAGGGCTAGTGACATTAAAAGCATGATTCATAAATAAATCATTCATGATATCGAACCTCTTCTAATATATTGTGTTTACACTATCTTGGTTGAAACATTTCAATGATTTTTTTCATAGATTAAAAGCTTTTTTCATTTCTTCTTGCGTTCTGGTGCCAATCAGAAATTAAGCTTAAATTAGAAGGAAGTGTTTTCAATTATTAATGATTTTTTTCAAGCACCTTTTAATTTTTTCCTAACAAATGGAGCATCACGAAGCGACAATATTTCTGCCACGTGTTTCTACATTCTCTTTGCCTTCAATATTTCATAAGACCCCCATCATCCAATCAACATTTAAATAAAGAAGATAATCAACTCCAATAAAAAGCCTAGATTTAACGCTGATTTGTTAAAAGGATTTCTGAAACAAACTTCATTCATTACCTTTGTTGATGAAGAAATGAGATATTTTTTCATCATAAAGAACACGTATAAGTGGGTTCATTTGAATAAAGATGCAGTCATTCATTATACATATTCCAGACGGTAGGTTCCATTGTCAATTGTTCCGCTTTAACTGAAAAAAGACATCCCCGATTTTGTGCGTTAAGTGCGCTAGTTAGCTTTGCTTAAGAAATTTTACACTTATACGGATATTTGAAATATGAAAACGATTAAACTGAGTCACGTCCCGGTATGTTCAAGCACGTACTTCTACCCAGTTCGTTAAAAATACATGAATTAAAACAATTTATACGTGCATATAATGGCGACCTTCTCCTTATCTTTAATTTTGTGTCATAGCAGTTCATCATCATTTCATTCAAAACATAAATGCAGTAAGTTGTAGAAGAGAGTATGAAACGTATCGCTTGGAATATGCATATGAAACCCTGCCTTTCAAAATTATTGGCAAACCACCGAATTAGCAGAATCAAACGCAGTGCGAGTTCTATATTTCCTTAAAATGAATGACAGCACTTGGCAAGTAAGATAGACTTAATTGACCTTAATTATCTGCAATTGTATTGATTGTTGCTAGCGCTTACTAGAACCAGGATATGTACAAAATGCCATCATTTCGCGAATAAGACATAACATTTTTTTTCTTTTGCTGAGAAAATATTTCTATTTTGATTTTTTTAAATCACGACAATGATTTATGTAGATTTTCCTCAGTGCAACCTTTGAAGAGCGTTATATAAAGCCTGATTATCCATGTTTAATATGAATCCATTTCACCCTGAAGTTGTTCAGTCAGTCATGCTTTGTAAGTGATGTATAAAATGAATGACTTGATCGCCTATTTTAAATGTTGTTGGCACTTCGTGGAGCTCAGTTTTTTCTTACCGTGTCTGATAGGCAGTCTATTTGAAGATGTGAAAAGATACTTACAACACAGCACCAACTGAGCATTGCCAATTGAAAAAATATTCAAAGCATTTCTTCGAATAAAAAATGGAATTGTTTGAATTCGTATCAAAACAATTCATGCAAAGTGTCATTAAAAGATTCTAAACGCTATATGAATGTTTGGGAAAATGCAGCTTTCTACTACCAAGACGAAAATATGACAGTTATACCCAGGTAAATAATTGCCCATGATTTTTCAGAGAATATATTTACAGGAATTAAGACGCTCCCAGCCCGCTAATGATAGTCACTATCGCAAGACTCAAACGTGAGAAAGAAAGTGTTTCATTAATTCCCGTCAAATGTCTTCTAATTAGAAGACGATGTCTCTATTTGTTCGCTAATATGAAATATCTCTTTACGACGATAACTGCCAAATGATTTTTGTCAAACAGATGTAAGCTCTTTGTCGCAGTCGTCAATTGAACTAAAAGCACGAGCTTCGAGAACAAACAACGGTTACAGCAACTGAGCACACTTATTGTCAAAAAAAAAGCACAGAACGGTCCATTAACTATGACATGTTGAATAATGTTCTAGAAGACAAATCGTGTCCCGGAAAGCGAACATAATGTAATAAGTATATTCGGAAGAGATTAATATCCTAATTTCGTGCATCATTTGAGCAATTAGGGGGCGACTTGAGTTGCATAAAAGAGAATGAACACAAATGGAGCAAAATATCCGTTTGCCAATGTGAAAATGTTCATATTTGCAGTCGGCACTTTTCGCAACTTGTTGTTCTTAAAATGTCTATTTTTCTTATCATAGATTTGTCTGTGTTCGCTATATAAACAAGCAGCAATAAATAAATGAACGAAATGCAGCAGTGAAAGTTTAGTCGTTGAACAATATATTGTATCTACATTATAATTTAACTGAATTTGTATGGCTGTATCATTTGACGTTACAGCCTCTCTTCTTTCCGACGCTCCACGAAATAATATTTTTTTACAACAAAATATACAGTAAAGAAAGCAAATCTAATATTACTGTATTTTTTTTTATCCCAACAGACTTAAGAAATCTGTATCTTCTCATTTACTTAATTAAAAAAACATGCTATTCTAACAGCTCTCGTAATAACTTCTGTGTAACAAAAATGCATCAGAACTCTCCAAAAATATAGCATCGGGTGAAACGTGAAACGTGAAATTCTGGTAGTTATTTTCGAAGGTTAACAGCAACATTGAACTATCTTATGTCAAACAGAAAGACCTGAGTGGGAAATACAATGCCTCCATAGGCTTTGCCATTTAAACTTGTCCTTTGTTAATACAGTCTGAGGATGGCATTTCTTCTCAGAAAAAAAGGGAGAAGAAGAAAGAAAAGAAAGAAACCAAGAAAGGAAAAGGAAAAAAATGAAAAATTATCTTATAACATTTTATACTCAGCAGGATCAATTGAAAGGCATTGCAAGTCTTTTGCATGTTTCCTTAAAATATTAAACTTAACCCCTATTAATCGTCTAACCAGCGAGCATTTCGGAGGCAAAAGATTGTCATTGTAGATGGTTTGTTTGAGACAGTACATAGCAGAGAGTGTTACCATTCATGTCTTTTAAAACACATTACAGGCACCAATTCGTTACAATGACGAAATGATTAGGATGGAGGGGTTATATAATAAAAGCGGCCTTGTTTGGCCAATTCTCGAACAACCAATATTCTTTGTTCCCTTCTTTCTTGTTGTGAATGGGACTATAGTTTGTAAACTTTGTGGCACACTGGGATGAAGGAAGCAAAAATACGTTTACCATATGAATTAGCAGATCATGATATGTCGAAAAAGTATTAAAACTTCTCTACATATTTAGCTTAGATAATAATATGGTCACTATGGTGGTCGGGATATCATTGTAAATGTGTTTAATTTTTCAAAACTGGTTTCCTTGTTTAACTGTCCGGTGGATACGGATCTTATCTACAAAGTGTGATATATATATATATATATATAATATGCAATATATGCGATATTATCACTTCTTAGTGTGGCTATATCGCTCAATATCAACATTTTGAAAATATGGAGGTTTTTGTCTAAATGTTTGACTTTTCCAGCGATACGTCCGGAAGATATTTATTTGCAGCGGGCCCACATAAAACTTGTTCATACTTCATCAAACCACAAACCACATTAATCCAATAACACATAATAGAGGTTAAGAGGTCTTCATTCTCCAGTGCTGACGCCAGTAATGTCCTTTCTGACAAGGTTGACTCAGCGTCACTATACAGAATGGCATCAATGCCGACATCTCTATCAATAAGATTATCAAATTTTCCTCATAATCAGATTACTAATATTTGCCCAGACGTACACATTGAGACCCGAAGTCATGTAAAAACCCAAAAGAAAATAATAAAAATTGTTCGCAAAATGATTTCCATTTACTTTCCATTTTAACTCTGTCTTTACACTGCATCGGTACACTGTACAAAAAAGTTGTTTAACGCATCAAAGTGAACATAAGCATGGTTTTCCTGCACACAAAATGTCAAGTATTTATGGTAAAAATATGATTCAGCACCTGAGAGACCGCTATTCTAGTAGCACAGGTATAACACCGTCCAACCGCTACCTGTGCAACTAGCAGCACGGGTACGACGCCGCGAGCGGCCAGTACGCGAAATATCCGTACGGTCTCTTTGGATGACAGGTGGCACGAGCCTATTGTCAGTGAATTATCGCCACGGGAATGATCCTATCATTTACGAGGACCGCAGACATGTCATTTTCCTCTTGCCGTGTCACAACGAGCGTAATCCTACACCCCAAACACCGCCTTAGATAATTTCGGTTCCCTTCTAAGAATGATAATAAAATGACCTTACCCCACGTTGTGCTCTATGACAGCAAGCGAAATCCCCATATTGGTCGTATTATGGATACAGCAGTCAAAAGGACTGCGAGACCTTTAAGAACTGTCTAACGCCGTAGAGGAACGCGTTCTTTACGCCTTAAAAAGCAAAAGCGAACCTAGCGCTTAGACTACAGTAAGCACTCAACTTGGTCCAGATCTCACATCAACGGCTGTGCAAACATATGCATAGCCCAAGAAATTTGGGAATAAAATGTGTCGACTACTGCCAAATACCAATGGAAAAAATTCCCACCCTGCCGCTTGTATTTTGCTAAAAGGTGTAAAAGAATCCTCACGTTCCTATTCGAAATTAAATTTGTTTTCCCAGAACGCTTCCTAATTGAAAGAAGGTCAGAAAACGCGTAATTGACATTTCTATGCCATGAAGTTTAAATATTTGATATCATGTCATGTCGTATATTAATTGAGATCGAAACAATCATTTTAGCTACTAATAAGCGAAGCGGGCGACGTCAGAAAACGGTGGTCTGGATCGGAAAAAATTAAGTGATATTCAGTCAATTAGGCATAATTCTGATTCTTTGGAATTACTGACAACAGCGACCATAGGGTGAAATAGCAAGATTATTGAAATATACGAGACGACTTACCTTCCAAAAACCTGGATCCTCTTCCTAATATTTCAGTTAGAGCTAAGTCCGTATGTGTGGACATTCTGCAATTTTCTGATTGTCTCTATAATATTAATTGTGGGTTTATTTCACCCGAAGTGCATACGATTCCACGGTCACACCGACCGACCACCTGTTTCGATTAGAAAGATTACTCCTTGTAGCTAAGAAAATGAACTTTTATTGCTACTACGAGACCGTTCTGCCTGTCAGCTCCAATTCCGCCAACCAGGGGGCTAGCTCTGAGTCACATGGCCTCATTGAATATTCATGAGCTGTGCGTGCAGCGGTGCGGATAATCTGGCAGAGCTATTGGATCCCGATATTGTAAGAAAGCAACTACGTGAACAGGTGGTGGGTGGCAGTTTGCCGATGGATCGACGGCTTGCTAAAGGTGCAATACAGGGGTCAAAAGCCGGGTGACATACACTCCTTCAAACAGTCCTAAATACTATTTCATTCTTTCCTAACGAACAATTCGAAACTGATTAAAATGGCAGTGTCTGATTTTGATGGATTGAAACGTTTTGTTTTCTTTGTCTTTCAACATGTTTCGCTCAGTGCTGATTGAAGACAATAAAAATATAGTCACTTTGGAGTATCCAAAATGTCTAACAACTTCCGTGTTCTTTCTGAGAGTAGACGAGGCATCTGCTACGAACATTTGAACAATAAAGACATTTACGAATATTATTTAAATAAATCACACATCATATGACTGAGGCTACTACTTATAATAAAAAAAATAATATGATAAAAAAAATCCATTATGAAGCTCGAAAAATAATCCAGCGAGTCTTTAATTCGTGCCAATTACATTAAAATTGCATAGAGTTTATATGTTATCTCAGCACGCAATAACCACATAGGGCCTTGAAGATGCGGACTCCATTTAGACGCTTAATGAAAATCGCCTTTATTCTCAGCCGACTTGAGCGCTTAATTAGTGTTTAATTGTTCCAGCTAATTAAATTTCGCTGTATCATTGTATAAAGTTCGCCTTCTTTCTGGCTAAACCCAAGTCCCCGGTAGAGTTGTATGAAGGGAATGGCCGCTACCGCAGTTCCCGATGTACCTGGTACCGATTCCCCTGACTCTCGGTAATACATGATATATTATCTACGGCTTGTCTAATGGGGATAATTATGCAGCATAATAGCGTATATGCGCTGAAACTACACACAGCAAAGGCAACCTTTGAGTGCAATAGAGCAGTCTGCTAACGTTTTTAATGGAAGTTGGAACTTGTGTACGGATGTGTAAATGTGGAAAAATGACATAGTAAATGTGGCTTAATGGCAGTATTCGCTTTCAAGGAGACTATTGTGTACCATATTTGATGTCGAGGTGATAAAACGGTCCTCCGGGAACTAGAAGATGGGTTTTTATTTGTACATTGAACACGTGCGTTAGACCACAGGGAACATGGACCAAAAGTCGTGTGATGAATAGGCTATCGACGGTTCTTCTCTTCTCACTTTCTGTCACCGCCATACAGATTTACCCAGGCCCGTAGCCAGGGGGGTTCGGGGGGTTCAAAAGACCCCCCTCCCCTCTTTTTTTGCTGCGAAAAAGTCCCCTCTGGGTAACATTTTAGCTAGGCACACGAAGGTTTCATGGTAAAAGGTCCACTTTTTCAGAAAAGGACCTCCCCCCCCCTTTTTGAAATTGCTGGCTACGGGCTGGTTTACCGGTCCTCCAGTTCGTATTGACTGGCTGGATATGGTTTCCATTTGTCAATGAACATTTTTTTCTCTTTTTATTTATGTGTGGGGAGAGGCTCAAACGTTGCTTTAAGAATTATTTCCTTCTATAATGCGTTGGTTTATTTGACTGATGAGACGGGCGATGAAAAAATGACGTCGCGTTTTTTACAGTGCATTATGAGTTTGAAAGGGCCAAAATTTAGATGAAAAAGAATAAGTGAAAATCAAACTTGAAAATGGATAATGAACAAAGAGGATGAGTGTTTTCAGCAGGAATCTAGTTTTTCCAGTAAACTCCGTATCTGTGACTGACTAATTAAACCCCTGTGATATTCACGATGTTGCGTGATTGTATTCGTTCGCAATAATGAAGACATACCGCCCATTGCCTCTGTGTTAGTTAAGCATTGTCCCCTCGTAATAAGACAACGTGTTCCATTTTGAATGTTTTAAATAGAAGTAATGTTACATATAGTTATTGTTAAAGGTTTACAATACCATTTAATTGGCGTGAAGCTATTTTTTACATAAAAGATTAGTCAGGTTGGATTATTAAAGGGTTTCACGTTGATATTTATTTTGGCAGCTATGGTTTGGATATATATTAATGTATTTTTTCTATTTTTATTACAATGGTCCTTTTATTTGTTTGACAGAAATTTAATTTGCACCAAATTCCATTTTCTATTATTAAAGATAAATAGGTAATCCATTACCTTACATGTGCGCCCCCTTCTTTTTGGATTTCAATCAACGCTCAACGTAGGAAGGACTTCGAGTTATCAAATGACCGAAAATATCCTTTTGGATGGGATTTTTGGGAAAATAATTTTATGACATAGCCCCTAACGGGAGTGTTTATTGACAAGTGGCAGTCGATAATCAGCCGGACTGTTTGGATAAGAGTGAAAGTTTTAAATTGAACACAGCATACAAAAACCAGATACAGAAATACTCGTGATTTATACATGTGTGAAGGTATGAATAATCGCTCACTGACAATGATGGAAAAAATCATTTACGAGTTACAATGTTTTCTCGAGGGAGTGCACGAAATTCTCTGGCAGACAAGCCAACCAAGCTGTCTTTTTTTTAGCTATGAAAGTGCGTCGCAGTTATCAGTATCCGTGTATTTTAGGTGACGTATGTATCCTTGTGGTTCATGAACCTTTAAATATTTATGATCACAACCTTGAGCAACTTTCCGTATCAAGACAGTAAGTTATTTTCCAACGCAGATTCAAGGTTAATTGTTTTCTGCGATTTTAGTCAATTACATCGCGGTGAAAATCTCTGGAACTTGGACTGGATGCGAGGGAAAATTATTACAAAGGAACATATTTAGCTTAAAGACTAATTTACTTCAAGTAACGTGTAAAACACGTAATGTTGTATGACCAATTACTACGGCTCAACGCGTTAATTTGAAGGTAAAGAAAACGACAAAATGAAGTGACGAGATTTAGAGAAAGAGAATAAGAGCATATTGCGCGATGCATTAGCCCAACAACCAGCGCAAATAACGAACAGAATTCAAAACATCCAGGAGATTACACAATATTTTCTTTGTTGCTAAATTCGCATTCGAAATGTCAGAAAAAAATGTATTTTTACCCCCGATTTGACAACGTCTGCTCAGTATTCTAAATAATGCTCCCGGGAGACTCCAATACAATTGAAATCTGGTGAGCTATCAGATTACGAATTATACACGTTGTAGCAAGTCAACCTAAATGCCTGCAGCTTAAAGTAAAATCTATACTTCATCGGTAGACAATTGTTGAATAAAACACATATAATGTATCTGTCCTTTGAACGACACTTCAGGTCCAAACCGTACATCTGCACCACGTATTATATGTCCCCCTCGGCGGTCAATGAAGCAAAAGAGATCAACGCTGAAAAAGAAATGAAAAAAAGGGCAGATGGGTATTTGTGAAAGTTCACACTTGAGCGTTGATTTGTCGTGAAGGAAAAGCAGGTCCTGAAGAGCCTGACTTACAGGATCACTTGAAACGCTGATATGTAAAACAGCGTGCTCTTGAGAGAGAGAGAGAGAGAGAGAGAGAGAGAGAGAGAGAGAGAGAGAACGGGGAGGGGGAACGAATGATCACACAGAAAAAGCCAGATTTTATTGAAATTGAGAGCTCATTACCTGTAAGTTAACTCTTTTAAAAAATGACTCGGATTAAATTAATTTATGAATCCGCTCAGCTATCAATTTCAGTACATCCATGATGTGCCTTTTTCATGTTTCGTGCAATTCATCATAGTTTCATCCCCCGATCTGTCACCCGTCCTGGATGTCTTTCTCTGATGCACTATTGTAAACTTCGCAGCGGTATCATATTGTTTATTGTTCAGATTCAACATACTAGCGATCGTCTGCTCCGCTATCATTCAGGGGTTCTTAATCCCCGTCATTAAAGGCAATTTGCGAGGGAAATCCGCTAAGAGGCGGATCAACCGTTGGAAAGTAGCTATTAAGCCGAGGATGAGCTCTATACTTCAACCTGAGCGTCTCCGATAGCTGTGTGTCTTTTTTTATTCAAGTGGTTGATTATCCGACTTAATTATTCCGGAATTATGGAAATTTAATGCAGAAGTCAAGTAGCCATTGACAAAGACGAGGCGCTGGAGGGTAAGAGCGGGGCCTACTTAACCGTCTGCTGTCACGGGCGCGCGCAGGGCACGCGACTTGATGTGTGTCAACTCGGGCCGCTTCATTGAGGAAGTGTGGACCGTGTTCACGATGAGATTTATAACCCTCCCAACCAAATGATTGAGTACCATTGGCTCACGCGGCAGCTTGCAATTTTGACATCTCTTTTAATCGTAGACAGTTTTTAAATGAATTTGCCAGAACGTTATTAGGCGGACTTGATCTTCATTATTTTTTTAGTTTATTGTGATTTATTTATTTATTTATTTATTTATTTATTTATTTATTTATTTATTTATTTTGCTTGTTCTATTATTTGTAGATCCCCACAATGTCAAAATGAATTTTATGCCGATTAATATACATATAAGTTTTCAATATGAAGAGTCGAGATTGTGATAAAGTTCAGAAACTTCACTTAATTATCGCCTAGCAAAAATAAATAAATAAATAAATAAATAAATAAATAAATAAATAAATAAATAAATAAGCCCGTTTAGAGATGGTCAACTGACTGTCATAACGAATATGTAAAGCAGAAATAGCAGAAACTGCAAAGCAAAAAATTGTAGAGATTGCCATCCGCTGAGCTGTATGGGACTGCACTGGTAAACGGGGACTTCATGGACCGTTCCGACCTGTGCCAAGATTCCCAGATGTAGAGTTGGAACTTGTGCTATATAAAGCCACGAGAGTGAAGTATTTACTTGTCTAAGGCTTAAGCCTACTTTTACTTGTTTATGAAACAGGTCACATACCTTCATCATTTTTAAAAGTGGACTTCTCCTACCTAACCTTGACTAA